TTTTCTCAATATTTAGATTTTTTTGCACCCTCAAATAGTTGTATCACAGTCAAATATTGTTCTATCCTAACAAACCATACATCAATGGAAAGCTCATTTATTCAGATGATGCATAAATCCCAATTTCGAAAAATTGACCCTTATGACTGGTTTTGTGCTCCAGGGTCACATTTAACCGGTTACTTTAATCATTCACATGTATATAGACTGCTACATCAACAAAAGCCATCGTTACACTGCAAATGTGGAACAGAACCGGCATCTGACATGGCATTTATGGGCGCTTTCGAAGCACTGCTTCACGAAGCTTCGAAACCTTTGTGAATGAATCAGTGCTTCGGAGCGCATATCAAACTGCCAAAGTCACATGACTTCAGCAAATGAGGCTTAGTTTCGAAATTTCAATGGTTCAGTTGAACCGGTTTTTACCTGATCTCAGATCAGTTTTATAAATTTGTAGACATTTTTAATGATTCATTAATTAAAAAATAAGTTAATAGTTCCTGATTTGCCTGTTTAGACAAGTCCTCCATAAAACAAACAAAACGAGTTTTGTTTGTGTTATTGGTGTTTCGAGCGCTTCGGAACAGAGAATAATTTTGCGAAGCAATTGGTTCAATTGATACAAAGCTTCGAAAAGGTTTGTTTCCCCCATCACTGGTTAACTGCTCTTAACTTGTTCATTAAATGCTAACATGCTAATTGGAAATGCTTTGAATGAGTAAACCAATATAAACTAAGCTCATGCTCGAAATTATAGTCTAAAGTTAAAAAAACAGAGATTTTCACCAACTAACGTTGCAAATCAGAGCCAAAATTGGTGCAAAAGTCGACTACTTTTACGATTCTTGGAAACAAAGAAAAATGTAAAACATATAGGATGCAAAACCCTAAATGTCTAATATTCTGCACTATTTCTAGGTCACCGATGAGTCTGATCATGCAAGTGCTGCTGCCATCAAAGCAAAAGACCAAACACAAACACATTCTCAAACTCACGGTCATTTTTCAATTCAACTTTTCGCTCAAATTGTGGTTATCGTGTAGTTTGTGATGAAAAACAGCATTCAGAAATGCAACATAGAAGCATTTGCACAAGCAAAGCCCACGAATCTGCCATTTAATCAGCCTCAGCTTACAGTTGTTAGTAAAAAACAAAAACAGACACATAAATCCCTCAATATAACGATGCTAAACACAGTTTCTGGTACTAAAGCGGTGATAACCATCACTGTCATTGAAGCTTAAAAGGATAGTTTCAACAAAAAATGAAAATTCTGCTAAACAGCCATTGACTTCCATAGTATGGAGAAAAAAAAAACGCCAGACAATGGCTACCGCCAACTATTTGATTACCAGCATTCTTCAAAGTATATTTTAATCAGAGTATCAGAAGGAAGAAACTCATACAGGCTTTGGGACAACCTGAGGTTGAGTAAATGATCAAATTTGCATTTTTTTTTTTTTTTTTGGTGACCTGTCCCTTTAAGGAGAAACAGCATCATATTCTAAAACAAGTATTTTGGGAATGGCATCAGAAGGCATTATTCAAAGTTTGACTTTATGTCTAATAACTTTTATCAAAGTGTTCTCTCTCTATAGAAATAGACAGTCTGAGAGAACATTTCGTTACAGTTACAGGACTGAGAAAAAATAAAAACGAGGAAAAGTATGAATAGGAAACAAAGCGCATGCTATTCTCAAATGTCGTTCTACAGAATCTCATGCAGTCATTAGGCTGAAGTTCATCAGAGCTCTTGAGAAACTCACGGTCTGCGGCGAGCGAAACACCCAGAGGAGCGCGTCTTTCGTGAAGTGATCCAGCCCTGCGGCTCAGCGGAGCTCCGGATCGATCAAAGCGATCAGACGAGCGGCTCATTAGCGGAGGCTTCGGGCGATGGTTAATTATGAGTGCGCTGCAGCACGCGCGCGGAGAGAGACGGAGGGAGGCAGAGCTGGATTGGGTTTCAGAGGATCAGATGAACCGAATCCAACACAATGAACACAAGAGCACATTCAGAAACGCGTTTCCAAGCTCCCAAAGCGAATTTAACATAGCCTACATTTCACAACAACAACGCTGCTCAGTTCAGCACACATGCGCTATTGTTCAGTTATTATACGCTTATTAAATATACGTAAATAACTCTTTCTTGAATGCTGTTTTCATTATTATGCATGCTTAGTTTGATTTGGAAAAATGTGGAACGTTTACAGCAAATCATCTCTCTTTAAAGCACTTGTAAACAATGTTTTAAAAAGTTGCTACAATATCAAACAGTTTAGTGTGTTTTTTTTTAAAGTTATACATGTCAGGAAAAAACGTTTTTATGGAATCTTCTTATATTTGATAAACATTCAAAGCATTCTTTGAACTTCTCAACATTCTCAACATTCTCATTTGTAGCTACTTGAACGTTCTAGGAAACGCTTTCTGTAACCTTTACATAACATTATAAGCATGACAGGAATACTGCACATTTTATTAACATTCCTAGGATATTACAGATAAATGTTTAAATAATGTTATATATTGGGTGAGTAGAACATGCAAAACGTGTTTGCAACCTTTAAATAACGTTCTAAGCATGACAAGAAAACGGCACATTTTAACGTTTTAGCGACATGTTAAAACAATGTTCCCACA